TTTTGAACTGATGCACTGCAACACCCGCTGACTGCCATTAAACAGCTTGGAAGATCAAAGTCAATTTTTAACATAACTCCGATTGGATTCATCTGAAAGAAGGAAGTCATATACGCCTAGGATGGCTCGAGGGTGAGTAAATAATGGGCTAATTATCATTTTTGGGTAAACTATCCCTTTCTGGATGTAGATTTCTGTTACAAACCGGTTTGCTTGTGTTTAGATCCAGTTCCACGTCACCATTGGCCATGCCACTCATTCTCTCTACACGGGCTGCCCATTCCCGGCCTGGATGCAGTGGGCTCTGATTGGCTACGCCGTCACATTCATCATCCTGTTTGCCAATTTCTACTACCAGACATACCGCCGCCAGCCACGCCTCAAGTCGGCCAAACCTGCCGTGAACGGCATCTCCAATGGCACCAGCAAGACATCGGAGGTCACGGAAAATGGAAAGAAACAGAAGAAAGGAAAAGGAAAGCATGATTAAAAAGAAACAAGTGAAACACTGGGTCTCATGGGCTTCAAAAATACCCATGTCTCAACTGCTACAGACTGTTTGGTAATTGTGAAAACAAAATTGGTCTTTTTTGTTAACTTTTGCTGATTGTATTTCAAACTAGAGACATTTGTAACGCAACCAATCCTGTGTGACATCACTTCCTCAATCATCTCCTTTGAGTTGCTTAGGCTACTTGTGACCGTTTTATAATACAAAATGTCCTATTTGGTTTATCGAATCAAAATAGCAAACTACTTTGAGAAGTTTAGTTATCATTTGGGGAATAGTCAGTTTTGAACGATTTTTCTTCTTCACAAAATCACATGCTTTTTCACATAAACAGAAAGCTAATAATCTTGAATGTTTTTATTTAGTATAAGCAGCAGATGAAAGATTCTTACATAAATGGTTCAGCTGGACGCTTCACATGTCCTTCCTCTGGTCTCGATGACAGCCAGCTTTCTTGACACTGTTGAATCCTGAAAGACTGAGCCCTTAAACAACAAATGATAATGAGAAAGAGTCATTCAAGATGCAAGTCTGAATCACTTCCATAAAACATGAGGATAATCCCACTTTCTATTTTATTATTGTCTGTTTGAATCTTCATTTGTAGTGAAACAGTGGTGTTTAAGGGCTCAGGGGAATGTTATTACAAATAGGCGATCTACCAAAGAAAATCACTGTACATTTGGTGGGTTTATACTCTTGCATTAGATAATGTCATTATTTTAATTTAATTTCCTGTACAAAACAAGTTCCTGAGACTTGCGTGCAGTAATGACGGTGTCATGACTATATACTCAGGTAGTTTCACATGTTTTTGTTCCACGTGTAAAATGAGACCTGTAGGGTTTTTTCAACTCAAAAAGGGAAATATTTATGACGAATTATAACTGGTTATGATTCATAATAAATATTTAGATTAGATCTTTGAATTACCTGTAGCAGAATCAATATTACCATTACTTGATCTGTCCGTCCACCGAGCAGACAAAATAATCATTTATCAATTCAAAGAAAGATTATTTTCCTGGCCAAGGAAGAATAACCTTTCCTTATTTATGCAGTGCTAGCAGTAATTTAACAAATGTAGCAAGGGTTGGAACATTAAGATCATGCATGATTCTACGCAGACGCTACAGACGCATATTCTGCAAACAAACACACACACACTTGTGTCCTTAATGTCTGTTCAGGTATGTGTACTCCTCTCTATTGCTTTGCGCACGTAGCTTTTTATTAAGTTTTTGCAAGTTATATTACATTACAGTTATACTAATTTTGCTTTTTGTTCCCTTTTATGAAAAAAAAAGTTCCCTGTGTTAATAGAATCCCACGATTGGAGAAAAAAAAGGCAGGCAAAAGATGTTTGAAAACAGCTATATATTTTCTGTATGACAATCTGAAATTCACACAGGAAGCAGTGTTTGTGATCTGTACATTGTGTACAACAGATTCTTACAAGTGTCAATGTTTCTCTTATTGTAAACAAATATTATCAGTTTATACAGAACTGAATGAAATAAACAGGATGCCAACCTCATTTTATGTCTTCCCTGACTCTTTCGTGTGTGAATTTGCTAATTAGTTATAAAATGACTCTCTCTCTCTCGCTCTCTCTCTCTCTTTGTTTTGTTTTGCTTTGCTAATTCAAGCATTACTGTGGAAGCCTCCCCTTTCTGCCATGGAATAAAACAATTAAAAAACAATTAAATTCGGAGAATTGCGAGACAACTCAGAATTCAGACCTTTTTTTTCACAATTCATAAGCTTCATAAGACTTTTTTTTTCAATTCCAAGTTTATATCGCACAATTCTAGCTTTTTCCCTGAATTCTAAGTTATCATTCACCATAAATGTACATCTCACAGTTCTGTTTTTTTTTATGTGTTTCTGCCATGACTTTTTAATTCGGTTTTTTTGTTTGTTTTGTATTTTTTGCAATTGCGAGTTTGAACAAATTCCCCCCCCCCCACCACCACCAGAATTTGGAAAAAATCTGAATTGTGGGACATACTGTAAACTCAGAATTGTAAAA